TGCGAGTGCCCGTACCGTGCATTACAGCAAGCGGAACGCCGCTGGCTCTGTAATTTTTACCTAAGCGTTTCCGTGTTTCTCTCTTTGGGATTCTGTAATATGACATTCATGCAGAATGTAGTAGAGCGTTGATGGATTGTTGTTGCAATGTTTGCACACGGGTCGTGCAATTTCTTTTATTTTGGGTGGTTGTGTATCAACTTAGTGCGTCCAGTTCTTAGACGAGAGAGTGTTCTTTCTTCTCTGTTGCTATTGTTGGATGTTTGTTAATGAAAGTATCGAATACATTTATGTATTCCTAACTGTCATCTAGGTATTATTATTTTTTTGCAGGGGTGTATGTTTATTCACAGGGGACTGTATTTGTTAGTGTGCTGACAAATTGAAGTGCCGTGGCTTCTTTTGTTGCTGCGTCGGCTTTTTTGTTTCCTTCTATTCCTTGACGAGCTGGAATCCAGGTGACGGTGGCTTTGGAGTTAGGTCGGTCGTAGTGTAGAAAATTAGTTAATTTTCTTGATCATACGTTTTTTTATTGGGGTTCTTGTTACGCTCATAGAATCGGTGTAGATAACAATCTGAGCCTCATTGTTTGAGTGCGCATATTGTAACGCTTCGAGAGTAGCGTAAGTTTCAGTTGTAAAAGTGGATGGTAATGTGGGAAGATTTTGTGTTATTTTGTGGCCTTATTCGTAATAATGGCATATCCAGCTCCAAGATTCATTTTCAACCCGTCAGTGTAGATCTTGCTGTGGTGGATGTAGTTGTCATTTAATTCTAGAAATCGGACTCTGTAGTCGGTTAGATTGAGAATTTTTGGGGGGAATTTGGCGAGACTGATGTTAAAAGTGCTTCTGTTGTCCAGGAAGGTATTTGAGGTGATTTGCGTTCGATTTTGAAGGTGGTTGTTTGGAAGATTTTGATTGGTCAATGAGAGGGAAGTTTGGGCTTATTGCTGTAGAGTGCTTTGTATCTATCAGAGAAAATATTATTGTTGATAGGGTTTGTAGTGGATGAAATTTTTATTGCTCATTTAAGAGTTTCTTAAAACTTTCTTCTGGTTTCTAGGGCCACTTTTTTTGACTTTGAATAGTATATTATTTATAAGACATGATCGATGTGCACCTGTAGCTAATCTTAAAGCTGTATGGGGGATTAATTCTATTATTTTCTTGATGTGGTTTTTGGCTGAATTATTAACGGTAGAAACATAGTCCAGTTTGGATCGAATTAGAGATTCTGTATATTTTTATGAGAGTTTTCTTGTCGACTCCCCAATTTTTATTAGAAAGTATTTTAATTACATTGAGTCTATTTATGCAGCGATTTTTTAATGATTTTGAAAAGGTAGCTTTTCGTCGAAAATAAGGCCTAATAGTATAATAGTGTCTGCGAACTTTACTTCTATATCACAATACAGTTTAGACGGAAACTGGAAGTTTGTTCACATCCTAGTGAATAGGATGCCTTGGATTTTTTTTTTTTTTGAGGAGAATAAGGAATAGGCTAGTTGTATTTGATCAATCCTGAAGGGTGTTGATAGCTGTAAGTGTTCGTTTATGGAGTGTACATTTTTTCCACTACGTGTGATAGTAATACCG